AGGAAGGGTCAGGAAGGTGTGGGAAAGGCAACTCTTATTTCTTTAGGGTGGTCTCTTTCTTAATAGGGTCTCTATCTGCTGGTCTCAGATATCCTATACTCTGGAAGAAGAAAAAAAAAAAACTCTTAAAAGCCAGAAATGAAACAGCCAATGAAAAAATAATTATGTTCACCCTTCCATCTTTGAGATTTAGGATAATAGTGTTTTCTAATAACCAGAAGCTTTAAAGGTTCCTATTAATTTAAACACAGGAGAAAAGTCAATCTGTATTAACAGTGTAACCTGGGATACCATATGATAGAAGTTAACCATCATCAAAAGAAATTTGTTTCCTCCAATATTGTAAACATTTGTCTAATTTAGCTTTGGACTGTTTTGTAGCTACAGTTAGCCTAATGATGCCATTTATGAATTCAAAGCATTACCACTTTTACAAGAATGCACAAAGCTCAGATAACTGCACTTACTCAGAAAAGTCTTTCACCTCTCCATTAAGCCTTGGGATCTTTAAATGATTGTCTTTCAGTGGAAATTAATTTCACAAAACATGGTCAATCAGTATGGTTCTAAGTTTGACTGTGCACTTAGATTACCTGGGAAGCTGTTGAGTTTCCAACATCCAAGCCACATCCCAAACCAATTAAATTAGAATCTTCGTGAGACTCAGACATCAGATTTGTTAAAGCTGTCAGTTGACTAAAAAATATAGCAAAGCTTTTGAATCACTTGTCTAAGGACTGTGATTTAGGGAGATACTTCTCATGGTTCTGCTCCATTGCTTTTTGAAGACTCAATATGCAAAGAATTTCAACTGTTTTTCTCTGAGCTTCAAGAATTGAGTTAAAGTAGACAAAATGGTGTCAGGTCCAACGCAATTCTTTTGTGCTATTTCAAATCCTGTATAAATAGATGTTGATTTGTTGTTTTAAAGATTGAGGTAACTTTTTATGCTTCTACCCGTGGTGAAGAATAAACTCCAATTTTAGAATGACATCTCAAGTACACCTATACAAGTCGTCGTTGAGTACAACTAATTGTACAGTTTATACACTTTGCACTGATTGTGATCTATTGTCACTTCGACAATAGCTCTTTTCTATTTTTATACCTCTTTTCACACCCCCTGTTATTTTGCAACATCTAATTACTATCACTTCTCTCTTCCTCTCCACTGCTTTTCATCAGTGTACTCTTCTACATTTCAGTTTTAAAATACTTTTTTATAGATAAGTATTGTTTCTCCTACATTTCAGCATAAAAAGACCTATTTTCTAGATATTACCCAAATATGGCCTTGTGAAAAACAGTAGAGATCTAAGATCCTATTCTAAATTGTTCACTGTGTCTTCCTCTAAAATATTTCTTGTGCATACATCTATTACAGATATCACACCATCTTATTCCATGGGCTGTGAACTGTGAAAAAGGGCAGTGCTTTACCCATCTTTGCATGAGTTAAATCAGTACCTACCACATGAAAATCTGTCCAAATAAACTGATAAAAGCTGCATTTAGGCCAGGCATGTTGACCTACACTTGTAATCCCAGCGCTTTTGGAGGCTGAGGTGGGAGGATCACTTGAGGCCAGGAATTCAAGACCACCTTGGGATCGGGCATAGTGGCTCATGCCTCTAATCCTAGTACTTTAGGAGGCTGAGGCAGGTGGATCACTTGAGGTCAGAAGTTTAAAACCAGCCAACATGGTGAAAACGCATTTCTACTAAAAATGTTAAAAAATTAGCCAGGCATGGTGGCAGTTGCCTGTAATCCCAGCTACTTGGGAGGCTGAGGAGGAGAATTGCTTCAACCCAAGAGGCGGAGGTTGCAGTGACCCATGATCATGCCATTGCACTCCAGCCTGGGCAACAAGAGCAAAACTCCGTCTCAAAAAAAAAAAAAAGCTAAAGAACACCTTGGGCAACATAGCGATATCGTGTCTCTACAAAGAAAAATTAAATTAACCAGCTTGCAGTCCTAGCTACTTGGGAGGTTAAAGTAGGAGGATCACTTGAGCCCAGGAGTTCAAGGCTACAGTGAGCTATGATTGTGACACTGCACTCCAGCCTGGGTGATAGAGTGAGACCCTGTCTGTGAAAAAGAAAAAAAATACAACTACTCATACCAGAATTTATGTTGTTCTTAACAGAAATAGGTATAATTATCCTTTGAAATTCAGATTTAAATGGATATGAATTGGAGAGCAGTGATTTTTCTTTTCTTTTCCAGGTTTGTATTTCAGCAGTCAGAAAAATTTGCAAAGGTGGAAAACCAATATCAGTTACTGAAATTAGAAGCCAATGAATTCCAAGGACTTCAAAGTAAAATCAGTTTAATTTCAGAAAAGGTAATTATTAATTGGCTTATCTGGGACGTTTTTCCCATTTTACTTCCCCACTATCATTTCCTTATCCCAGCTCAGAACTTCTTTGTTCCTGCCTTTTAGACTATTACTATTTTAACTCTCACTGATCTTCCTACCTCTTGACATTCTCCCTCTGATCCATTTTGACTCAGATTGCAATTTGAAGGACAAGAATTTTTTAATATGACAATTTCTAGTGTTGAAAAAGACCAATTTGTTCATATTGGCATGATGTTAATTTTCTACTTATGTGCCAGGTATCGAGGGCATTGAAAATGTGGTTGATCATGTCTATGGCATACCATCCTGAACGCACTCGGTCTCATCTGAAAATATGGTTGATCTTTGGACATAAAATTAGAATATGAATAGCACTTATTGGGAAAAGATCTATCCATTTTTTTTCCTTATTTTCTAATTTTTGAGGATATATGTATATGCATTTAAGAATGGCTAGCCTAAGCCAGAAGCAGTGGCTCGTGCCTATAATCCCAGCACTGTGGGAAGCTGAGACAGGCATATCACTTGAGGTCAGGAGTTAAGATACCAGCCTAGCCAACATGCTTACTCTAGTAGTAGTGTGTAGGCTAATTTAGAGAACAAGCAACTGGAAGCAAATATTAGATATTGCTTTTTCTAAAATACTGTCCTTCATCACTGAAGTCTAGGTTGGATCTCCACCTAAATGCTTCCATAGCTCTTCCCCTGACATAGTGCATAGACACTTGTCTTTCTCATCAGTTAAACTAAGCTGCTTAAGGGCAGAAGTGTATCTTGCTCAGTATTATGTCTTCAGCATAATGCTGTAAGCACATGATAAATTAATGATCATTTCTAGGCTTTTCTGTAGTCTCTAAAGCTGTTATCTAAGTGTAGACTAAAAGAGGTCTATGACTTGGCCGTCTGTATTCCAGATACAGATTAGGAGGTGTCAGGGGCTTAGCATAATTTACAAATACTTAAAACACTTTACCATTCCATTTGACTTGTCTCACTAAACTATTTTTCAATTGTTTTTGCCTTTGTATCTGTAAGAACTGATTCTAGTACCTTCTCTGCAAGAGGTTGGTGGAAACTTTTTTTCCGGCAGAAATCCTTCCAGAACTATAGGATTTAGGAAAGATATAAAATTTTATATGTTACATATAAATAACCATAAAAATGACATCAAAGTTACCATTGGAGTTAAAAAGAGGAAATTGTGATCTATGTCAGGTCCTTTAACATTATTTTTCTCTTGAATATGCTTCTGTAGAAATGCTCAAATATCTAGGATTATATGTTCAGGCGTATTTTTTTTTAACATAGTGCTGGCCGGGCATGGTGTAATCCTAGTACTTTAGGAGGCCGAGGCAGGTGGATCACTTGAGGTCAAGAATTCAAGACCAGCCTGGCCAACATGGTGAAACCCCGTCTCTACAAAAAATACAAAAATTAGCCAGGCATGGTGGCGCATACCTGTAATCCCAGCTACTCGGGAGACTGAGGCAGGAGAATCCTTTGAACCTGGGAGGCGGAGGCTGCAGTGAGCTGAGATGGCTTCACTACACTCCAGCCTGGGTGATAGAGCAAGACTCCATCTCAAAAAAAAAGAAAAAAAAAGAGAAAAGAAAGAGAAAGAGGAAAAAAAAAAAAAAAAAAAAAAAAAAAGACACAGGGCTAACCTTTGTGAAAACTATTAACATAATAAATGTCTTTGTCAGTATGATTCTGATGTACTTGGATATTTTAGACATCTTCAGAATTTTAACTTGGCATGTGTTATACTCCTATTTGTTAAAATGTATTTCTCTAATATGAAAATTATTAAGAAGCCTTGGAAATTGTTTTGTGTTATAAATGCAGCTTGAGACTGCCGAAAACATCCTGCAGGAAGCTACGTCATCCATGTCTTTGATGACCCAGTTTGAGCAGGAAGTATCCAACCTCCAAGATATCATGCATGACATTCAAAATAATGAAGAGGTGCTTACTCAAAAGATGCAAAGCCTAAATGAGAAATTTCAGAATATTACGGATTTCTGGAAGAGAAGCCTAGAAGAAATGAATGCTAATACAGACATTTTCAAATCAGAAGCAAAACATACACATTCTCAAGTAACTGTCCAAATTAACTCAGCTGAGCAGGAAATAAAATTACTCACTGAACGGCTAAAAGATTTGGAAGACAGCACACTAAGAAATATTAGAACAGTAAAAAGACAAGAAGAAGAAGATCTCCTGCGAGTAGAGGAGCAGCTAGGCTCTGATACAAAGGCAGTTGAAAAGTTAGAAGAGGAACAGCATGCCCTCTTTGCCAGAGATGAAGATCTGACTAATAAACTCTCCGACTATGAACCCAAAGTTGAAGAATGCAAGACACATTTGCCAACAATTGAAAGTGCTATTCACTCGGTTCTCAGAGTCTCTCAGGATCTGATAGGAACAGAAAAGAAAATGGAAGACTTGACTATGCAGATGTTTAATATGGAAGATGATATGCTGAAAGCAGTGTCTGAAATAATGGAGATGCAGAAAACCCTTGAAGGAATTCAGTATGATAATAGCATATTAAAGATGCAAAATGAACTGGATGTTCTAAAAGAAAGAGTTCACGATTTTATAGCATACTCAAGTACGGGAGAAAAGGGAACTTTAAAAGAATATAATCTAGAAAATAAAGGAATTGGTGGTGATTTTTAAATTCATTTATTCTGATGAACCATATCATTATACATGAATTGATTAGTTCCATGATTTTGAGTTATTTTGATATGCCTCATCTTATCCTACATTATTGGAAAATAAACAAGATGTCCACACAAATGGATTATCTACATAATCGAAGCTTATCTTTTTAAGCACTAAAACTTATTTCATTTTAACCATTTTAAACAGAAATTGTTCTTTACAAATATTTCTCTACTTTTAAAACAAGATACTTAATATTTTTAATGTTTTTTAAAGAATTAGTGGACATCATTATTAATTTCACCTATTATATTGGACCCACATATATTGATGTCTCCAAGGGTTAATGGGGATTATTTACTGCTTCATTAAATGACCCCAACTTGCCATTTTTCAAAACCTATGTCTCACACCTTTTCTGTCACCTGATCTTGCTGTCAGGTTAGTTGGTAATCTGCCTGCCTCAGCCAGTTCTTCACTTTCTTATGTAATTCACTGCAGGTTAAGAATCCAGACAACGAAGTTCATAGGAATTTTGTGTAAAATAAAAGATAACATGCCTGAGGGAGAGCCTGGTGCCTTTGCTATGAATTAATATGCACTTTCTGAAAACTATGAAGCCTGGGAAACATTTTAGTTTTTGTTAAGGTTCTAAACTGTGTTACACATACTTGTAAGACTTTTAAAATCAGAGTAAGTATGTTCTTACATAAGGTCTTTCTTATGAATTACGTGTATATAAATCTTTGAAATATCTTTATATACCTGGGTTTTAAGTTCTAACTGTTAGACATGAGTTTGCTAGATCCATGATCCCTAGATAATCTACTTAAAAATAAATAAGCCTGTGGCCTGTTTTAAGGAGGGAAAAGTAACTTAACTGTGATAATTAGTTACGCCAATAACTATGGTAGTTAAAAGCAAGTCATTTTAAAGATTTCCCAAAGGCCGGGCGCGGTGGCTCAAGCCTGTAATCCCAGCACTTTGGGAGGCCGAGGCGGGTGGATCACGAGGTCAAGAGATCGAGACCATCCTGGTCAACATGGTGAAACCCC